CGACAATCAGACTGGAAAACAAATATGTGCTCAAAAGCTTGGATAGCATTACACTTCATCTTCCAGAAAACTATCAAGGTGACTTACAAAGGCTATCAGATTCTCATGACAAAGAATTGAAGCCACAGCTAAGTTAAACCCTATATATGATAGAGAACAGCACATTTTCAGGTGTTTGAGTACTGTAATGAGATGTTAATTGGATAAATGGGATTGCATTTCGTACCCTATGTTTCACAATCGTTAGAGGAGTGTTATACGTGTAAATAGTTTGGTTTATTCTATTCTATTTTACCTTCATTTCTTTTGCATAATACATTCTTGTTTTACTGCTAAACCAAATCTGCAACATTGAATGCTTATGTTTCAGTGAGAGACTATTCAAAACAAACAAAAAGTTTTATCAAGACAGAGGTCAGTCTTGTATCTGACTTGTTCTATAGTAACAAGAGATAGATAGATTCTTGTTCAGGAAGAGGATGAAAGGTTTTTAGGAGAGGCGGGAATGCAGATTTGAGGTTAAAATCAGATCAGCTGTAAAATCTTTCCCCTTCCCCTTATCGTTACCTTATGGAACTGGCCTTTCTTGCCTCTTTTTATCGCCAGATTTTGAGGTGGTTGGGAAGCCAAGACATCACGGGTTAGCAACAAAAATCCTGTTAAATTGAAGCCATGTAGCCTCCTTCAAATGTTTTGATGACTGATCCACCTCCTCAGAGCACACTATCTGTTATGCTATGTCTTATGTCACATTGATATAAATCAGCAAGTTTGAGGCAGATGATGTTCCTGTTTCTACTCTGTTAACTTTTTAACTTCCTATCTGAACCAAATCCATGTTTTGTTGGCAGTTCACTCTCCATGTTTATTGACTTAAAAGTACTTCAGCTTAAGTTTGTTAGTTTACTTCAGGCTACTAACATCAAATGCATCAGTTGGAACATCATCCAACAATGATGTCTAACATGTTAATTCCATAAATTAGAATTAGACAATGCAATGAGTTAGCACTTAGGTTTTCTTTGCTACCAGAACTCTCTGTTAGAAATGGGTAAAAGCAAGAGGGTTGCAATGGGGATAAACTCATCCATGGCTGAGACAGTCACTTAAGTTTACTTCTCATCTGACTTTAAGCAAAAAATGGATTAATACTAAAATATTAATTGCATGTAATACCACTTTGATGTCAGTTGTGATAGATACTTGTTTTAGGTATGTCATATGCAGTTAATTGTGCTGGATCATATGCCTGCTCAGGTTAAACATCTGAGGTGTGGAAGCAGGAAGTTAAAAGAATATAATAGATTTGCTAACTGCTTAAAATACACCAAACAGAAGGAAAGATCCTTCAGAAGAACTTGGAACTGCTGGTAAACCACATTTATTTTGAACATCTAATTTCAGGTTTGCAGATGAAGTGAAAATGCAAAAGGTAACAGATAATGAGCAAGTCAGTAGGTCAAAATGTGAGATTACGCCTTTTGGCAGGAGAAGTACAAGAACTGAATATTACTTAAATGAAGAAAGACTGCAGAAAGCTACAGAGAAGAGGGATCTGGGAGTCCTCTTTCATGAATCACAAAAAGCTAGCAACAGGGTAACAGGGCAGGCAAATGGAAAGTGGGTCTTTATTTCAATGGGAATAGAATATAAAATTACGAGGTTTTGGAACATTGTGAACAATTTTGAACCAGGTGTTTAAGGAAAGTTATACTGATATTGGAGGCAGCTGTAAGAAGGTCACTAGGCTGCTACCAAGTATAGAGGGACTGTCTTATGAGAAATTGAGTAGATTGGGCCTGTACTCATTTGATGGCAAGTAAAAACAGAATTGGGCTCAGCATTACAAATCAGTCCTATGCTCCTAATGCATTTGTATCATTTTAATGTCTCAAACTCAGCTTAAAAGGTGAGGACTAATATAAGAAGTTTCACTATGTTTGCAATGTAATTCAACTTCCTTCAAGCCATCAAGGCTTGCTACAGATCGAATATAAGTTCACTGCTTTCCCTCTAACTGATATTACTTTGTCAGCAGTAGGGATTGTTTGTCCCTTTCCTATGGCAAACCTGTAAACATCAATGAGAACTGTATTTACATTTTAATCCACAATCCTTCTTCAATTTATACAAAACATCTTTGACTTCTTCTTTAAACCATTTAGCTGGATTACTGAAATCCAGCTCAGCCCTCAATGAAATCAGTAACCTTTCATCCAAAATGCTTGTCATTAAAATAATGACTTTTTTATATCCTTCTGAATACAAAACAAACTAATGCTGTTGTTAAAGACACTACCAAGTGTGGTTCTGACATACACAGTACAGAAGGATCCCATATTTAACTTCCATATTGTGCTGACATCAGAGTGTAATTAAGATACTACAATTTTCTTCAGTGACCCTAGATGAAACAGATGGACTCTGCACACGTGCCTGAGTGTATGGACAGCTGGCAATAATGGAATTAGTAGAGATAGGTAGTAATGCCTCTCATTCTGTACCAGTCATCAAATCGAGGCACAGCAAGAAAAAATAATGGGCCAAGGAAACAAGCAAATGAAATTGTTTTTAAGTGCATCAACATAATCAAAATTTGTACAGAAGAACATTCACTGAAAACTTTATCCAGCTAGGTTTATTTCAAGACCTGACTTGTAATGTTTACAAGGAATACTGTCATCTTGATTGACTGACTCACACTTTAAGCAGAAATCCACAATGACACAATCAATAGGACAATAATGTCATGCAGGAGGGATTTTGTCTGACTGAAAATTATTACGTCGCAGTTTGCAAAATCTCAGATCAACTCAGTTGGCATCAATGTCACCTCTTGTCACAAAGCTGTTGGACTAACTCTCACTGTACAACATGAGTATACAACTCAGACCGACTGAAGTATACAATTCAGTGCAGAACTGAAGGTGTGCAACATTGTTGAAGGGCTGCATTTGTCTGTTCAGAGACACCATGATTCTATCTGGAGATGAGAAAGGAGTCCTATTAGTGTCCTGAACTCCAGAGAGAAGATGAGAATGACTACTGTTGACAACAAGGCCACAAGTGGACCAAATGTGGCATCAGAAGCCCTAGCAAAATTGAAACTAATTAAAGGGGAAAACACTGCTGAATCGAGTCCTAACTTACACAAAGGAAGATGCTTGTGGTTGTTGGAGGTTGGTCATTTCAGATTCAGGGAAGCACCACAGGCGTTCCTAAGGGAATGTCCTAGGCCCAACCATCTTCAGCTTTTCATCAATGACCTTCCCTCCATCATACAGTCAGAAATTCAATGATGATTACACAAGGTTCAGCAACATTTACAACACCTCAGATACTGAAGCAGCCCATGTCCATATGCAGCAAGGCCTAGACAATACGGACTCTGGCTGACAAGTGACAAGTAATATTTACACCTCACAAGTACCACGAAATAACCACCTCCAAAAAGTGAAAATCTAACCATCATCTCTTGGCACTCAATGGAATTGCCACCACTAAACCCCCGGCTATCAACAACCTAGGAGTTTACTGTTGACCAGAAACTGAACTGCACGAGCTATGTAATTACTGTGGCTGCAACGGCATTTCACAAGATAGGAATCCTGCAGCAAGTAACTCACATCCTGAATCTGAAAGGCACATCCACTGCCTACAAGGCACAATTCAGGAATGTGATGGAATACTTCCACTTGCCTTGTCGAGTGCAGCTCTAACACTCAAGAAGCTTTACACCATCTATGACAAAGTAAATTGCTTAACTGACACTACATCCACAACTATTCACCCTCTCCATTACCATAGCACAGTTGCAGCATTATCATCCACAATATTCATTGCAAAAATTCACCAAGGCTCCTTAAACAATACCATCCAAACTTACAATCACTACAATCCGGAATGACAATGGCAATGTACATGGGAACACTACCATCATCTGCAAGTTGCCCTGCTAACTACCCATCATCCCGACTTGGAAATACATTGTTGAACCTTCACTGTTGCTGGGTCAAAGCGCAAGAACACTCTTCCTCAGAGAATTGTAGGGTAACTACCCTAAATGGGCTGCAGTGGTTCAAGAAGGTTCTTACCACCACCATCGCAAGAGTGGTTACGGATGGGAAATAAAGAGCTGGCCTAACCAGTGATACTCTCATCCCTTCAAATGAATAAGAAAAAGTGATTAATTAGCTACAAATGCTCAGAGGCATCTCCAAATCATAATAAGGTGCAAGCTCTGAAAGTAAAAGCCCTATTGCAATGGCTTGCATTAGATTAGATTCATCACCTGCAACATATTTAAGTTCTACACTTCCTGGATGTGTTGAAATGTTAGTTCATTTAAAAATATCCATAACAATTTAGTTGCATTTACACTACTGGAAAATTTAACTACATTTTAGCTCTGTAAAGAATTATACAAATTAATTATTTGGCACAAAAATGTTTGAAAGCAAGTAAGAGGGCATTCAGTAATGTGTATACATTTGCCACATTGATGTGTCGTAACTACAAAGCTGAGAAAATAAATATTTTCATTAAAAGCTCCCATCTCTCCATAGGCCTTGGGCCAACCCACATCCAACAACCTATAACTTGGTTCACATTTTGACAGCTGTGACAAACTGCACTACATCTGCTGAGACAATCCATGACATTCTATAATAATTAACAACATTCTGAATAAGACAACCCATGATACTACAACAAAAAAAAAATCAATTCTCAGCCTACCTCCCACATGTTAATGAATTGCTTAAAAGTAATCCAGGATTTGGGACCACAACTTCATCAAAAACTAATTACTTCTTTCTTTAGCCATATTCCGTGTAGCACATTTTGTTGAAAGCTGACCATTACTTTTTGAGATATATTAGTTACAGACAAACAGACTAACAAACGGACAAAAAGTTTACCTCCATAACTAATTACACAAGGCATGTCTAAAATAGTCCTTCAGAATGTTAAACATCTGATTCATAATTTGTGTTGCTTACCTTGTTTTTAGAATATTCAGAAATTGTAAAATTTCTGAGAACTGTATCAACCTGAGGGCTCTTAAAAATCGCAAGCCTGTGAAAAGAAACAATACGTTAACATCCACTCATCGCCACTCAGAGCACTTAACAACCTGTAATATTCAGAACCAGGTGTAACTTTGAGCTCCTATGTAACATATATAAAGAATCAAGGGGTAACTCTCTGCGAGGGGAGTCTCATTCTCTGGAGTCTAGATTAGAATTTATAGTTTGCTGTGCATGTAAATGAAACATGGCCTGCAACTCAATCGACGCACTGTTTCTGACAGAAATCTTTCCCTGAGGTCTTAATTAATAGAAGGACACAATCTAATCAGCTTCATATTTTCAAACCGCCAGCCTTGTCAGCATCAGCACTGACAAAGAAAACACACAGAAAGATGTGTCTGGAAACTCTGTGTCCTGGTCAATTTGCAGTATATCATTGAAACAGAATGCTGCTTGACATCAAGTGGTGCTCTTTGGCAATGGATTCCAACAAATCAAAAGGAAATGTGGAATTGTCGTCATACAAGACTTATAAGGAAGTTCTATTTAGTCAGGCATTCTATGAAATGCTTGTGGGAGAATTGGCTTCCTTCATCATGTTTGCTGTATACATGTGTTTCCCATTGGGTGAATGACAATGTTCACTGCAAGTACAAATCAAATTTCATCAGCTACTTTGGACATTATTATGACAGGAAATCTATCCCTTCCTTCCTCTACAAACAAAAAATTACTTCTACCTTAATTTCTCTCCCAGAAGTGTTGATGGTAACCAAAGGTGGTTGGGCCTGACTCAGCATAATAGTTTGTATGTTTATTCTAATATATCAGCTTATTTCTACACTATAGTGCAGTGAGACTGCTCCAACAGTACTAGTAAAAGTTTAACTGGAATTGATATGCATTAGATGTTGCACAGAAATGGGCCGCTCTTCCCAAGAAGTGTACATCGCACTAATGTTTCACAAAGCCTGCTTTTACTTTCTCCCAACTAACTCCATCAACATATCTTGCTAATCTTTTCCTCTCATCTGTTTATTTCACCTCCATATTAGTCAAATGTGGTTAGTTTCATAGGATAAGCCACCACATAAAAATGAGCTCAATGGTTTCAATGGTGAGACTACGTAATAGATGGGGGAAAACAAAGTAATTAGAGAATTGACTCAGTGTTCAAATTGTTTGTTATGTCAGGTAATTGGGCAGAAACATAGCATAGTATCTGACGTGCTCAGCTGAAGAGAGATGTGAGAGAAAAGCACAAAGAGACAAAATAATAGAACACAATCCAAGTAACATATTTTATTAAAAATATCACACCACAAATGTTCTTCAGAATTTTAAAACAGGTCAATGTAACAAAATGTGTAATCATTTTTGATATAACTCAGGTATTTATGAAGCTTTACTTCCAATCTATTCAACATTCAACTCACTGCTTGTCCAGATTTTGTGGCAGGCATGTTAACTGGCATTAATCTAGGATCAGAGTTACAGAGTCCATCGTATTGCACTAGTTCTTTGATAGAATTAGGGATTGTTCTATAAGCAAAGGCTGAAAAAGCTGGGACTCTCTGCATTATGGTTTAGAAGAATGAGAGGTATCTCATTGAAAGGTATGGGATTCTTAAGGGGCTTGAGAGGGTAAATGCTGTGAGGACGTTTCTGCTCATGAGGGGGTCTAGGACCAGCGGCCATAGTCTCAGAATAAAGGAGTGCCAATTTGAGACTGAGATGAGGAGGAATTCCTTCTTTCAGACAGTTGAGTTTCTTTGGAACTCCTTGCCACAGAGAGCTGTGGATACAAAGATCTTGTGTGTATTTAAGGCTGAGACAGACAGATTCTAAATGAGTAGGGGGATCAAGGGTTATAATTGAGGGCAAGAAAGTGGATAAGAGGAATGTCTGATCGGCCATGATACTATTGAATGCCACAGCAGGCTTGAAGGGCCAATTCAGTACCCCGGTTTCTCTTTCCTTTGGTCTTATCGTCTTATGTAATTAGTTCCTCTATCCTCCTCTTTGCCCTGTGTTCTTGCAAATATTGTCCTTGTCAATTCCCTTTCAAAATGTACTGTCAAATCCAGTTCCACCATTCTTTCGGATCATGATGTGCTGTGTAAATCCATGCCCTCTGGTTACCAACTCTCCTGCCAACTGGTGCAGATTGTTCCTACATAAGCGTACTGTAACCTCACAGTTTTGAGCACAGACCACAGGATGCAACTAAAACGTTATTGAGTTATACAGTCATAGTGCACTGAAACAGACCCTTTGGTCTAACACATCTATGCTGACTAGGCATCCCAATCTGACCTAGTCACATTTGCAAGTATTTGGCCTATATCCCTCTAAACCTTTCTTATTCATATACCCATCCAGATGCCTTTTAAATTAACACAGTGTGGAGCTGGAGGAACACAGCAGGCCAGGCAGCATCAGAGGATCAGGAAAGCTGATGTTTCGGGTCAGGACCCTTCTTTGAGGCTTTGCAGTGGGGTTATAACACACTCAGAGATAGTAAGAACTGCCGATGCTGGAGTCTGAGATAACACAGGGTGGAGCTGGAGGAACACAGCAGGAAGAAGGGTCCCAACCCGAAATGTCAGCTTTCCTGCTCCTCTGATGCTGCCTAGCCTGCTGTGTTTCTCCAGTTCCACACTGTGTTATCTCAGACTCCAGCATCAGCAGTTCTTACTATCTCTGCCTTTTAAATTAGTTAGGAATGTTAAGTTACTTAGGAATGAAGAAAATAATACATTTGTATTGGTATAATTAGTGAATAAGACTAGAAAATTTTGACTATTTTACCACAAACTTGGAACATTCCAAACAGAAGCATGGTGGCCACATCTGGCACCAGTCCTGTACAAAGTTTAGTATTTAAAACTCCACAGTTGCACAGATTGGAGATGTTCATTGAACCATAAATATAGTTGGACATCATGATTTAAACTGGATCCCTTGAGACGTTCTGTTGAACTTTAAATTGCAGACTGCTAGCGAGAAAAGAAGTTAAATTTTCAAACTGCTGAAAGTGAAACTTACAGCGAAGGACTAAAATTAAACTAAAAGATGAATAAAAACTGTAAAAAAAGGGCGGTTTCACTTAAACAGTGAGGGAATTTGGAATTTGCAATAAATTTATAGTTCACTATTTAAATTCACTTTTGGTGAACTGTTCTTAAGAAATGCAGTGGCCTGAATATTTTGCTTGAGATTTTAAATGTGCAAACCTGAAGGAATGTTAAGTTTGTGGTCTGAAGAAACAAGAGAGATATTGCACAAATAGTAAATACAGTTAAACAACAAGTTGTATGACAATATGAAGAATACTAAAGCTCAGAACATCAATTGCATTTCTGGTCTAAGACATGTCACTCATGTAGATTACTATTATACTAAAATATTCTGTGTACGTGCATATTTCTCCAACTCTGCTCTGGACTAGTGTTTCAATTTGGAAACATTTACATATGATATAGCGATCACAAACCATACATTCAGAAATTAACATGGAAAGCTACAACAGCAGCACTATTAATAAAATCAGGAAGGAGATGTAAACTGATCGTCAAAACAAAATTAAAATAATTGGAAACCCCTGTGATTTCTAAGTTGCCCAGATCTGGAAATAAATCCTTTCAAAATACAACTAGAAATAATGTAATGACACTAATGTCTGCTTAAAAAAAGACTGAACTGAGAGATAGGCAGAGCCAATTGTGGGACAACCTTTTGAAGGTATAACCATAATATCTTGGGTAGAGAAGAATCTTACCCCAGTAATACACAACACGATAGCAAGTAGCCAAAGTGTTTTGGAAGCTGCCTTGCTCCTCTTTGTCCATATTATGACTGTGACTAGCTCTGACACGGTATCCATTCTGGAAAAGGTCTCCCAAAGATTTCTTGCGTCTCCTGGTGCTCCGCAAAGTCTCAGTCTGGGTAGATCCATTCGCAGCACGATAGACTAAAATTTTACTTGGAATCATGATTCTTGATATTTTACCAGTTGGTTTCAAAGAGATTCGGTGTGTCTTGTCCTAGCTTCTCTTGCAGATTTCTCGACAATTCAAAGTGAGCACACAGTTTCTGAAGTTTGAAGTCCATGGCTAATTCCCTTTTATTGTGTGTTCAAATCTGTTTCTTCCACTGCTCATGACTACAATATGTCCACTTCCATTGATCCTGATCAACAGTGTTCCTAAAGATGCAGGAACTTGCATTTATAAAATGCCTTTCTCAACCTAAAGTGCATTACAGCTAACAAGGACTTCGGAGATGTAGTCATTCTTGTGCTGTAGTCACATCCGTCCTGGGACTCGTGGCGCTTTCCATTGCTAGATTACATAAAGCCTAAATCTGACACTCTACACCTAAAGAAATGAGGATCGAGATAACACACTTGTTCGTCTGCAACGCACATCAGAGACAGCCAGCAATGCTCAGCAGGGAAACAAACAGAACAAACACAGGACAATGAGAAGCAGGGACCTCCCACAGCTGCTGCTATAATCCTCAATGAGCAAAGCTTAAAAAGCCATTTTCCATCAGGATATTGCAACATAAGCTCCTTTTCGATTCAACCAGGAGAACCACCTTTGACTGTAAAGAACAGACCTGCTGCTTCTCCAACATGCTATTCCCATCTACAGCTGGAGACTCATAAATTTTCACCTTGTTACTCTACACTGTTCACACCAAGTCCTTAGCAGGTGCTTAAAGATTTATTTTCCAGTGTGCACCTGCAGAGATGTGAGTGTTAAAATTCCTACTTGCACTGAACTGTGTAAGGAAGGGAGAGCTCTTGCATCATCCAATTCTTGAAGGATTTAGAACAGTCTAAATTTTTTAAAAATCCTATCTTAAACAAAACTCCCCAGACAAGATGCTATGCTTTGGTTACTTGGACACCTCCCTACAGGCAGATAGCAGAAAGAAGATAATAAAAGACTATTTTCAGTGGATTCTTGCAAACAGCCATCAGACTTAATTTGCAGAATGGCACAATGCTTGCATAATTACAAATCAGACACCAATCAA